ATAATTCAGTACATAGTACAAGGGAATCAAAGAGAGTCTAATAGAAAACTCCGACTTTATGGCTTCTTCTGAGTTTTTTCCCGTAGCTGTATCTATATATGTATGCATGTAAATATGTATGTCTTAGTTTGTCAGATAAGTGACTATTTTTTTCTCGCACAACTTTTTCATATGGAAAGTGTGGAAAGTGACAATTGTTCCCAATGTGTTCTACACTGCTTGATCTATAATTTTCCGCTCTAGAAGATAGTATAAGAGCCTTGCTACATTTTTTGATCTCCGATTTCAATGAAATGGAAATTCGGGTAGAGACAAGAGTGAATTTCGACAATAGCTTTTTGCCGTTTACCTCAGCTTTCAAAATACAGAAGGAGCTCAAAACTTGTTTTATATATGACCGAGGGAAGGCACACTCCTTGACAACTGCTCAAAGGTGTTGGAGCGATCAAGAGTTGGAAATTCAGACCTTGTGAATTGCATTGGACGGAGCCCTTCCGGGTGAGCGAAAGCCCGCAGATCCCATCCACTGATTTCGAGCTTCTCCATTGGAGTGGAGCTTGATTATGACAACACAGGTGTTCTATGACCTATGATGATTCCTTCAATTTTCGACAAGAGTCTCCGTGAATAAAGTAATCCCATAAGCTCTCAGTTGGACTCAGTAGGCCACTTCGACGCTTGTCTGTGAGGTTGCACTCGAAATCTTCATCAACCAATCGCACAACCTATCGTAAGCGTTATCTAGAGCATGACCTCTCTGCTATATTTTGAGTCGACGCGTATATTTTTCCCCCCACTTTTTTTGTAAATATCTCAATAGCGAACCAGCCTGAAGATTAGAGGTATGCACCATCACCATCCACTACTCGACGCCAGCGCTCAGGCAGCTTGTCGATTCCATCCTTCCAGAACGACGGGGGCTGGGACTTGAAGAAGTCGTCGAGTGCCTTTCTTCCGACCTTTTCAGAGAGCGCTGTAGGTAGCTGAATAGGCAACACTCGGAAGGAGCGAGGTCAGGGCTGGGCGACCATCAGCCATCCGATCTTCTCCAGCTCGGCCCTTTTCGGGGTGAGGTAGGGCGTTATGAGGGTGGAAGTAGATTTCCGCATTCGATCCACGAGTATGGTAGACGTGATCTTTCAGAAGCCACCCCAAATGCCGACCTTTACCCCAAGAAGGTTCTCCTCTCCTGTCGGTGGTCCAGAAGCGGCATGGAGCACTGGGAGCCTCTGGGTGACGTATGTGGAAGCGTCAATCGTCTGTCCCTTCTCCAGCAGCTCCCAGTACTCCATGCCTCTTCTGGACCACCAACAGGACAGGAGAACCTTTTTGGGGTGAAGGTCGGCCTTTGGGGTGGCTTCTGGCTGTTCTCCTTTGTCGACCCACTGCCGCTTCCTCACAGGGTTATCGTAGAGGACCCACTTCTCATCTCCAGTGATCATCGAGTTGGAAAGTGAGGAGAGAAGTGCAGGTGGTCACCCTCCTCGAGAGGTCATAAGCGGACAGTTCATGTGGGACCCATCGACCGAAGCTTTGCTACCTTGCCGAGCTTTTCCAGTCTACGTACCATCGTCGATTGATTATAGCCGAGCATGGTCGCCATTTCCCTGGTGGTTAGGTACGGGTCCTCCTCAGCGATGGATTGTAATACTTCCAAATCCAACTCCA